CTATATCCAGTCTACAAATGAAGCAAAAATACTTCGGCCACCGTCCGGCAGAAGCAAAAAATTTGCCTCCGCTCCGAACAGCGCCGCTGTCTAGCGTCCATTTTAACCGGAAGTTTACACAAACAGTGACTGGTTAATGTGATGAGTGATAAGCTTCAGCGAGAAAAACAGCTCCGGGGTTTAGAGTGGTATGATGATGATGGTAATAGGTTAACGTAAAGGGGTTAACTTAACTTATAAGCCTCTGACAGCCGTGAGGAACTGTCAAGCTTGTCCAACTCTTCCTTGCCTGTTTTCTGCCTGTTTCAGCTTATTCTCCACTTCATCCCCACCTCGGTCTCCACATCGTTCCCACCTCGTTCTCCACCTCGTTCCCACCTCGTTCCCAGCTGGCCGAGTCTAACACAATGTAGTCTCTTTCATGGACTGATCGTCACATGGGCGCTGTAATCATGGAAACAAACACATACGTGTAGTATCTTGACTTACACTAAGAATACATGTATCAATTAATATAACATATAAGAATAAAATATATCCCATCACTCCTCATATTCCACATTCTCTCCAGTCTAGTCTGAAGGTCTTTTGTCTTACATGGACGTCACATATCCTGCCTTCCTCTCTCATGCTATGTCATGATAGTTGACTTTCTAAGTCTGTTGTCTGTCATCATTCAGACTTCCAACTGGCTGACATTGATATTACATGACCACGTGGAGCAGGTTATGTGCTGAAAACTCCCACCATGTTATATGTGCATGATGTCTGGAATATTGTCTTTCCAGTGAGCACATGGTGAGCTATTAAAACTCTGCGCATATGGGCATGATTTCCCACAATCCAAGCACATGTTTTGGGTTGACCATGAAACAATATCATTACATTTCATTATAGCAAATGTCATTGTTCACATCTTATTTTATACACATGGAAACATACACTGAAAAACATGTGACACAAACATACAAGAAATAGGAATAGTTTAGCAGTTCCCTAACTTGAGATACTGAATACTCACAAAGAACTATTTCAAGCAGAATGTGCAGACAAATTAGGAAAAGGTAGTATAGACTAAAAGCTTAACTCCCTAACCTAAGTATACAAGATTAATTAATATTCACCTGGGAACTTTCCATCTATCGCCAAACCAGAATGCGACCGTAAAATACCTTTACGTCGACCTGTGTTTGTTTGCCGGCAGGCTGCGATTAATGACGGGAATTCCACAGGCTCGAAGTATAAGTATCAATCTATTGTCCAAATTAATCTCCTCCCTTTCCTCGTTTCTACCCAACCCTCAAGACGATTACTTAAGCCACGCCTCTGAAGTACCTATCAGATCAAATTAGCTAACAAGTGGCCTGTCAGTCAATTCTGGACTGACATCCCTAGAGCAAACATTCTTAAGTGACCCAATCTAGTTTACAACGAATCTAACTAGACGGTGTGAAAACGGTCCGTGAAGCCATTGTGTTTACTACTTGACCCAGATCAAACATTCCTAATTGCAAAACACCTGTTCTCTTGAGAATTACACTGACGTTTTACTTAAACCTCTCGTCGCCACAATGTCTAGATTCCCCTGTTCTAGTCTTTCAAAGCCGTCTGTGTTAGGTAACCTTTACGACCTACGGTCCAGCTCAGGTGTGAAGTTCCCCGTTCGCTGGCCTCTACAGTGTGGTCAGGAGATAACATTCTGCTGGCAAGAATCAAACATAACCCCGTCTCGCGGGCTGTATTACGTAGTGTTATGTAATTTAAACAAAGCGTAGTGGCTTTGTCTAAGAGAAGGACTGGAAACATTTAAATCAGTTTGGTTTAAAGTAATATTAGGGTAAAGGGCAGAGTAAATATAATCCTGTCTCTTCAGAACCAGAAGAACTTATTACAAGTACAAACTTCTGGAACCACTGAGATCGTATCGTGACAACTTGTTTCCGTTTCCAGGCCCACGATTAGAGTAACTTCCCTTGCTATTCACGCCTCCCTAGGTCGCTGGACCTCTTCTATGTTGCGGGGTATTCATGCTTTCCTTATTGTGAATAGTGTGACCATTGCTTATTATATATTTTCTTATCTGTTGATAAAGACTTGTCAAAACGTTCGGCTGTATTTATATCGACAGCTTTCATAGCTTGTTGGTGTTTAGGCATTTAAAAATATTTTATTTTGTTCATAAACTACCACATCTATGAGTTGCTTACTTACACAACAACAACAAGAATAGCCACAACTACTACTGCTGCTGCTGCTATTATTACTACTAGGAAAACGATTTCTTCTTCTTCTTCTTCTTCTTCTTCTTCTTCTTCTTCTTCTTCTTCTTCTTTTTTTCTTTTTCTTGTCTTTAGACTTTGTTCTGCTTTTTAGCGTCAGGTTGTGAAAAGGCTTCTAGTGAGAGCCTTTCTGTGTGCTAAGTAGATTCTGATATTGACGACCTTAAATAGTCCATCTATACATTGCTAACGTGGGCGACTTCTAATGTGTGTATGTGGCAGGGCTCTGAGTGATGCACTTTTATTTGGTAGTTTTGACACATTTCTGAAACATCTGATATGTAGTCTCTTGTTGTGGTTTAGCACTTTTTCCAAGCCGTCCATAAAATAATCGTCTCTGATCCGGTACAAGCGGTTTTTTTTTTTCTTTTCCTGAGGCAACTGCCTGACTGCTCATTTATGAGTCGACATCATAGCACATCGGGCAGACCCATAGATGCTCGGTCTCCCGCGACAAATCTCTTAAGGTGTAGATGCTAACTGTTCCTGTACCACACTGATTAGATACACGTCGTTTTTTTCCTTTCATACGTCCCTACTAGCAGGATCCAGTCATAATTCCTCGTTCACATATTCTTACACATGTTATTTAATCTAATGTTGTGTCTTCTGTTACAATTCGTTTATATATGGTCCTCGGAATATATCACTTGTCTGTGGCAATTGTCGTTTGAAGCTAATGAATTTTGAGTTTAAACGAAAGTCCATACAATAATCCCAATTTTAGGAGTTGAAGTCTTCCTCCTCATCTTCTTTTCTCTACCTCTGAAATGCCTTGCGGCGTCAGGACAGGAAGAGATCTTTGGAACGGACCCTTCTGTTCGCTTCTTATATAGTACTTTTCAGTGTCTCTGATACTTGTGCGGTTCATATTCTGTGTGGTCGACCTCTGGATCTGTTACCGTTCTATCTGAATAACACTGCTATCTGTGGTGCCCTGTTTGATACAAACCTTGTTACATGGCCAAACCATTTGATCTGCTGTCTACCTATAAAGTTCAGTAATAATTCTAAGCCGAATCTCTTCCCGAGATCATCGTTCCTAAGTCGATCTCTCCTTGTTACACCAGGCATAGTACGTTAAATTTCAGTTCTGTCGTGACTATTTTTCTTCTTCTTCTGAAGACAGTGTCCATGTTTGATATCGACAGCATAGCGTTGGTAAAAAATATTGTGTTCATGAATATATATATATATATAAAATTTAAAAAAGAAATGCATGTTGCTATGCAAATATCTCAGAGATGTAGGCGGTTTTTATCATTAGCATTCGATTGTTTGAACCATTGTATAAACGCTTGTGTGAACGCTTGTGTGAAACCTTGTGTAAACCCTTATGTGAACCATTGTGTGAACCATTGTGTGAACTTTTGTGTGAACGCTTGTGTGAATCACTGTGTGAACCATTGTATAAACGCTTGTGTGAACGCTTGTGTGAAACCTTGTGTAAACCCTTATGTGAACCATTGTGTGAACCATTGTGTGAACCATTGTGTGAACTTTTGTGTGAAACGTGAAACTGTGTGTTGTGAATCACTGTGTGTAAACTATTGTGCTCGTGTGAACCTTTGAACAATTGTATGAACGCTTGTGGTCACTGTGTAAACCGTGTGAACATGTGAACCTAAAACGCTTGTGTGAACCATTGTGGGAGCCATTGTGTGAACAATTGTATGAACGCTTGTGTGAATCACTGTGTAAATCCCTGTGTGAACCATTGTGTGAATCATTGTGTGAACCTATGTGTGAACCCTTGTGTTTACCTTTGTGTGAACCTATGTGTGAACCTATGTTTGAATCCTTGTGTGAACCTTTGTGTGAACCTATGTGTGAACCATAGTGTGGATCCTTGTGTGAGCCTTTGTACGAACCTATGTGTGAAACATTGTGTGAATCCTTGTGTGAACCCTTGTATGAACCTATGTGTGAACCCTTTTGTAAACCCTTGTGTGAACCCTTGTGTGAACTGTTGTGTAAACCATTTTCATCAAACAATGAGAAATTATAGCTGTCCTGCATCATTCAAAACTCAATGTTATCGAACCGAATAATGGGTCAGCCAACCAAGCAGACTATGCTTCATTGAATCAACATAAAGGGAAATGAAAGAGCAGACTACCTAGTAGATATGGACGTCATACAGAACAGCCAGGGAATACAGGATGCATTTAAAAGGAAAATAAAACTTGGATCAAAGCAGCCATTAAAACCCATTGGAACACTTCATATCTAGGTCACAGTCTTGAAGACCCAGTCAACCTTCTGACACGAAAGAAACAATATGTGTTCTGGCTCTGCAACCATATCTACAAGATAATCAATGCTAGCGAATCAGAATTTTGCCAAGATGAACAGGCGCCACAAAATAGTAAATATTTGCTACGGGCATGCTCTCTGCATGCAGTAGAGAGATCACAGATTTGACCTGTTGGCATTCCAATTGATGCCAAGCTGTGTGGAACACTGGACAACATGAGTCACCCCACTGACTTGAGAAAAAAAAAGTACGCGGGCTTCTCATCTGACTACAACTCGCAGGGAGAACAAAGCAGAAAAAAAAAAGAACCTAGTGAGGGATAATATATATATATATCTGAATATGGGTTAATAAATGTTAAAACTAAAGGCTATTTTCAACGTAATCATTATGCAATTCTGCTCAGTGCTCATGTATGTTGACAAATGCAAAAAGAAATGTCTAATATTCCATAAATAACACACTTATATTTGTCTACTGCGTTCTATGAACTTCAGTTTAAAAGGTTGGGGCACACAAGTAGCTCCGAAAGACTCTTTCAAAGTTGGGAGATTACCAGAACTATCAGCTGGTTGAAACTTGAAGCGTTGAAACATAGCAGACAGAAACAGAAACAGTTCCATTTTAGCCAGGGCTTCTCCTAAACATATTCGTCTGCCGATGGAAAATGGGATCAGTTCTTCTCGGTTGATGAGAGCTCCGTTCTTATCGATGAATCTTTCAGGCCGGAAGTTCTCTGGATCGCCCCAGATTTTCTTCTCGTAGTGAACAGAGTCCAAGACTGGCCAAAGAATGCTTCCTTTGGGAAACGTAAACCCGCCAACTTTAAACGTATCACTGACTTCCCGAACTATTCCAATGGGAACAAGACTGGCAAAGCGTTGTGTTTCCATGATAACTGCGTTCAGATAGACCAGTTTGGGTTTGTCAGACATGTTAGGAATACGTTCAGTTCCAACATTGGCCTCAATTTCACGATAGACCTTCTCTTGCACCTCAGGATAATGCAGCATGTAGAGAAGACACCACAACGTTGTGATACTTGTTGTCTCAGTTCCCGCCAGAAAAAGAAGTCTGACGATAGCAACCAAGTTTTCTTCATCGAGATGTGTCTGAATACCCTTGTCTTTCAACTTCTTCATCTCCTTAATGTAGGCGGCTATAAAATTCTCTGGATCTTCATGTGCATTGAAGTCATGCTTTATTTTATTGACATGGGCCTTACCAAATTTCTCATTTAATTCAGTGGAAGCCTTAGTCCATCTCTTTGCATTGAAGAGATCGCCTGGTAAATAGTACAAGTATTTAAATGGCGTCAGTATTGCAACAGACCGTTGGTACTTCATCGCGTCAATTACCTGAAGAATGAAATGAACAAAAATGGATCTTCATAATCAAATCGTTTCCCGACAGTAACGGAACAAATCACGTTGGATACACTAATGTTCAGAAGTAATCTAACGTCCTCTGGTTGTCCTTTGAAAGATGCGATCTTCTCCAGAACACACGAAACCTCTTCTTGAATTTTGTCGGCCATGACATTTTTCCCCATTCCGAAAGAACGAAGGATGGACAAAGATGTTGTCCGTTGCTCTTTCCAGTTGTCATCCCTTGCTGAAATGATTCCCTTATCGTGTTCGCCAATGACCTGCACTGCAAATGAGTCTTGCGCGTTTACAATATAGTCAGCGTGCTTGACCCAGATCTCCTTGATGGTACTGTAATCATTAACCAGAATGTTTAACTCTCCTCCGACATCCAAGCTGAAGATATCACTGGTAGTCTTTCTCCACGCTTTTATTTTGTCTCTCAGATTACCCCTCAGTTGTAGGAAATGCCCGACAATTGGAAGTGGTTTTGATGGAAAAGTGGGAATGTTTCTGGGATAGTTACGTCTCGTCTTGGTCCATAGCCAGACTGCTGCTAAAATTGTCAAGATCAACGGCAGCAACCAAGATACGGTGACTGATACTGCCATTTTGAAAGCTTGTTTGTTTTCTGTAAAGAATCTGATGAAGCTAAAGAAAACGTCTGAGGAAAAAGCATACATAATTTATTATAACTTGTCAAACTTTTTAAATACCGGTAATAAGTGTAAGCTTACCGAGTACTGAGCTGTTACAGTGTTAAGTAATTAAAGTAGGTTAAGGATGTTTTTCTCGCCTTTGGTCTATCGGGCAAACTGTTCTTTCGTTATATTTTTATATAGACCAATCAGTGTGTCAAGGCTGATTTCGTCAACTGTCCACTGTTACTATCCTTATACTTTAGCTGTACAATTTCAAAACTCGACTGGGGTTCCATGGTCGACCCAGCTTAATGTTCTTCTTTTACCTTCTGTCCGAAATGGAGCGGCTTCACTTCTCCATCTGTGTAATTGTATGTGTGTATTTTCTGTCCTTATTTATATGCCCCTGTGAGTTCCAGTGCTAATACATTCCAGTTATATTGTTCTCATGTTTTCTTAGCGTGTGTCCTATCCAACGCCAGCGTCTTTTCCTCACCTTTTAGTCCAGCCAGCCTAATATGGGATCCAGAAAATGTTATGAGAAATAGATACGACATCGTGATACATTCTGTATCACCCTTCGAGTGCGGATTAGTCTAAAATAACATGATGTTGTCGCTTTATATCCTATGCATCTCTAGTGTGAAAGTGTTCATTTTAGTTAACAAACCTTTTGTATGGGTTCTGAGGATCCATTTAAAAAAAAAAAAAAAAAGAGCAAAGAATAGCCCCGTAATATGCATTTCGTAAAAGGTGACTACTTATGGATTTTTCTTTTAAAGTCGGACAGACAAGGAACCAGCCGTCAGCACACAACTAAGCCAGACCTGTAAAATTGATGCGCATGCCACACTCAGGTTCCGGAACAGGGCTAGAGTCGAGGAGTGGACGACCAACTAGAACTTTCCGCCGGAGTTTACGACCGGTGAACGCGAAGAAGAAGATGAAGATGTAGTCCCAGATGGGTGAGTGTATTTTATGTCTAGGTGTGCACTCCTTTATTGTTGTGGTTCTGTGTTTCCTGCAGGTTTGTTGTCCCGTAGGATTGACACCGCAAGGATCAGAATCAAACAGAAGCCAATCACAGAAACAAAATAATTTTTCTTCTGCGTTTATCTGCTGGTGGTTTACAACGTGTGGCTCTCACGCTGGGGACCTGAGTTTGAACCCAGGCAAGGTGATGAGAATTTTCAGTCGAAGGCAAAATTAAACATCCTAACCTGTACAGTCCGTGGCGGGGGCACGAGCCAGTAGGCTCTTAATCCTCAGGCGCCATACCCACCTCACACCCCTCTTCTGTGGTTAAGAACACAGTAATAGTTTGACAGTAATTGCGTTATGCCCGTTAACAGCATGGCTGTGATACTTGCGCCTATCCGCCGACGCATCCATCTTCTACAGGCATTTGATAATCGGGTTTGCCTTTCCCGGATAACTCCATTCGACCGCATACCACCCTTATATGAGGGCGCCCTTCATCGTCATAATTTGTATGTGCCTTGCCAGCTGGCGTATGCGTTCATGAATCTTCACAGATCTTGTTCGTTGGTGTTCTGAATACATTCAACCGATGATGTTCCTCCATGCCACCGTCTTAAACCATCCGTCATCGTTTCTATTGGTCTGCCTCTGGTTCTTGTACCAGTGATCTTTCCAGTCGTCAAGATATTTTTCGGTGTACCTTTTCTCATCACATGACCAAAGTACTTTTTTTTTTGGTCTCCATCTCATTGTTGTAAATAACGTTTTACTTTCATTAGCCATTTCCAAGCAATCATTGTTAGTCATTCTGGCAGTCCAAGGTATTCACAAAATTCTTCTCAAGAACTACATCTCCGCTGCACCCTTCGGAATAAAAAGTAACTTGCACACCAAGGTGAAATAACCATTTTCAGCGCTAAGCATATAGTGTTATATTTTATGAACCAACAACCAGCACTTAGTTTTGATGTGCGCAACACCACGACAGCCGCCTTTACTTACCATGACTTTTACCTGCTACCCACTCAAAGCTAGGTCGAACTGGAAGCAAAGGTCATTTCTGAAAAAAACGTCTGGCTCCGTTCTGATTCGAACCTACGATCTTTAGATCCGATGGCGAACGTCTAGCCGCTAAGCCACGGCAACTCTCCTAGCACATTGTGAGAGATAGGATAATAACACCCTTGTATGCGACCCGCTAGAAACTTACCTGCCAGATTTTCCCAGTGAAAAAGTAACTTTCTGCCCGACTTTTATAGCAAGATATACGTGTACCTTGCACATTTTCACGTCACTAGCAAGTGGGCCTTAACCTTTCTAGTTTGCATTATATTCAGAACGATTGTTATCTTGTTATGAGTTTCAAAATACTTATGTCATTGTGACCTTGCAAGTACGTAATACGATTATCAGACCTGAAGCTTTATCTTCGAATGTCAGTTTGTACACTTACATTATTTTGTTGCATCAACGAAATTCATAACCTGCTTAAATCACCACTGGTAACTGGCATTATGAGAGCTAATAGACTGAAATAGCTGGGGAATATTGAGAGAATGTCAGATAACAGAGAGATAAAAAATGTAAACATACGGTAGTTGAATGGTCGTAGACCACGAGGTAGACTAAGAAGACGATGGAGATAGTGTCCAGAGAGATCTGCAAACACTTGGTGTTACAACTGGAAAGAAAAGGCCAAACAGAGATATGGATGGAGGCGGGAGATATCTGCAGCAATGAACTTCACGGGCTCGGAATGCTGAACAAGAAGAAGAAGAATATCTATCTATCTAATCTATCTAATCTATCTATCTATCTATCTATCTATCTATCTATCTATCTATCTATCTATCTATCTATCTATCTATCTATCTATCTATCTATCTATCTATCTATCTATCTATCTATCTATCTATCTATCTATCTATCTATCTATCTATCTATCTGTCTATCTATCTATCTGTCTATCTATCTATCTATATATCTATCTATCTATCTATCTATCTATCTATCTATCTATCTATCTATCTATCTATCTATCCATCCATCCATCCATCCATCCATCCATCCATCCATCCATCCATCCATCCATCCATCCATCCATCCATCCATCCATCCATCCATCTATCCATCTATCTCTATCTATCTATCTATCTATCTATCTATCTATCTATCTATCTATCTATCTATCTATCTATCTATCTATCTATCTATCTATCTATCTATCTATCTATCTATCTATCTATCTATCTATCTATCTATCTATCTATCTATCTATCTATCTATCTATCTATCCATCCATCCATCCATCCATCCATCCATCCATCCATCCATCCATCCATCCATCCATCCATCCATCCATCCATCCATCCATCTATCTATCTATCTATCTATCTATCTATCTATCTATCTATCTATCTATCTATCTATCTATCTATCTATCTGTCTGTCTGTCTGTCTGTCTGTCTGTCTGTCTGTCTGTCTGTCTGTCTGTCTGTCTGTCTGTCTGTCTGTCTGTCTGTCTGTCTGTCTGTCTGTCTGTCTGTCTGTCTGTCTGTCTGTCTGTCTGTCTAATATATACATGGAGTGAGGCCAAAAGGGCAGAATATAAGAATCGATAATTCACTCTCTTTCATCTCTCTCGTTTCCACTCTCTCTCTCTCTCTCTCTCTCTCTCTCTCTCTCTCTCTCTCTCTCTCTCTCTCACTTTCTCATTTCCTCTCTACAGAACCTGTGTATTTGACTGCTCAGACTACTTGAATGTTTGAAGAAGTGGAAGAGGTCGCTCTATCAGTTCAGCAATATTGCAGACAGTTTGGCAGTGAAAAAATAAAGCAGAACGTGAAGTAAAACAAGACAGCTAAAAACGGAACACACAATCAAGATTGACAAAATGAACGGTAC